TCCCCAGACAAGGAATTCCCCACTGTCTCTACCACAGGTCACACAAGTTCCAGGTGCAGCACACAGCTCACCTGATAGTCCACACTCCAGCAACACACTGCAGACCCTCAAGCTGATAGTGGTTTTTCTGCATGCAAAATTGTTAATTAAAATGAAGCTCTGTTCCAGTGCTCATTCTCTGATTGGGAGTTAAGAGTTTGATGGAGAAGACAGAAAGCAAATTGGAAAAAAATACCAAAACCTCCTACATTTAACATGTAAGAAAGTTGAGGAGCAAGTGAAATCAACTTTGCTAAGCATTCTCAGATTTCACAACTTACTTAAAACTGAATTATTCACCAAGTTTTAATCCTTTCAGCCCAACTTTACTTTTCTGCTTTTGAAACTGTAAAAGTAAGATGTGTAACATCATTTATTTTATAACTTCACTTATTTATGACTTCTGTCAGTTACAACAGGCATCCTGTAGCAGCTAAGAACAGTCAGAAAGATTTCAAAGGCATGTCATTAGAGTCAGTCCTACAGAGGACTGCCAGCAAATACGCAATGGAGATCTATAATTTCAAATGTCAACTCTGGCCTGTACAAAGCTGACATCACACATAACGTCAGCACGAGGACTTCCTTAACTGCACTTGATGTTGAAACCGGTTATTTTGTCAGGACACACAGTCAAGCGCTTTCTAGGAAAATCAATTAATATTCAGACTCACCAGGCAAAAAAAAAAAAAGCTTTACAAAATGAAAGAAACAGAGCAACTAGGACAACTACTACAGAAGATCAAGGAAGTTATCTGATATTGTCAGGAGGAGTTAGAAGAAAACAACTGGTGACTGATTAAAATAACCCATTTGATGTGAATTAGGGTTGCTGGCTTTTTTTTTTTTTCCCAAAGCAAAAGTTAATCCCAAGTTAGCATGACACTCAGCAAGAAAACAAGTGCCCAAAGTACTAAGGAACTTAAATAAATGTTTATTTGTTTAAGATATTAGTTTAAACCTCAGACTGCAGCTAAGCTTTTCAGAAGCTGCACAAACAACATCAGATAGACACTCACAGGCTGAGTGACTGCTTCATGCCTGTTGTGCCTTCCTGTACATTATCACCCTTCACTGCTTGATAGGCTGAAAAAATCCATCACATAAAAACAAAATTACCACAATTTCAAATCTAATCCACGTGTTTAATGCTCAGGAGTGGAAAAAAATATATATACGACTCAGGACACAACTGTGAAGTATAACAAAAAAGATCTCACAAAAGTCAAGACGTTACACGTGGGATGCTGTAAGACAACAAAGAAGCTCATGCAGGTATGCTTTTGTGGTGCGCTAATCAAAGAGGCAGATGAAATACTCCAGAAAACAAGACAATAAAACTCTTGTCAGCTTTCTTTAGCAGTTCATGTCTAATTTACTAAAGTCACTAACTTACATTTTGTTGGAGCATTCCCCCAGAAACGCACTTCTGTGTCACAGCTACAGAAGTTGGAGGTGTAGTCAAGTTAACTCCAAATAAAACAATCTGCATAAACACAGAAATTACTTTTAACACCTTCATTTTATGTGTTGCTCTTCTTTAAGTAAAGGCCTTCTAATTCTTGAGGGTACCGCAAACACGGCAGACCTACCAGAAGAGGAGTCAATATGAGAGTGCCTCCTCTGTTTCCATCTGGGATGGACTACTCCCAAACTACCACTACATTAACACCAAGCAAAGAAACTGGTTGTACACTGAGTATCTGTGCAGTAAAAAAAAAAAACCCACCACAAAAAACCCCGACAAAAACAAGAGATAACAGCAATTGCAGAAAACAATACTTCCAACAAGCTCTGAAGGCATCCACCTCACAGGGGAGCCAGATACAAGGAGATAAAACACTGCTGGCTCTGGATGATTTGAAGTATTTTGAAGCATAAGTGCGCTGAGAAAACACGCATGACAATCCTTTTTTTCCTCTTTTTTTTTTTGATTAAATAAAAATACTCCCATGTCTCTCACGACTTATCTTCTTTAGAACCCCTCAAAGGAAAAATAAAGGATTAACAAACAGTAATACTTTATACAAGTCTGTCCAAGTTGCGACTGCTGAACAGTAAAAAGTTCATCATTTTAAATATGGAAGAACTGAGAAACTGAATACAGAGAACTGCATTTTCAGTCTCACCCAGAAAAGACACCATCACATTTAGAGGTCTGCAGAGCTTCCCAACGCTGCATTATACTTAAAAAAAAAAAAAAAACAAAACAAAAAAACACAAAAGCCTCCAACTTTTATAAAGAACCTATTCCACTTCTCCTCAGCTTGACTAACTGCTAAGTAGTATAAAAGACAACTACTATCCAATTTTAATGGCACAAAATTTTGCTCATTTGATTTACTAATATTTAAATGCTTTATGACCCCTGAAATTATTGCCTTTTTAAACTTCAGCAAAACGTTGATTCTTCTACATCTGAAAACAGATGAATTCTCTGTAAATACCTGCATTAGAAAGCTGGTGACATGAAGATTACATGTTTTCTTCCCCTGCCTCACCTCCATTTGAAGTAGGCAACAGTAAACACCGCTGTCACAGAGGACATAAGCAGAACAGCTATTTTCATAAAAGCCGTGCTGTTAGAGAAAGGTCAACTTTTACATTACCTTATCTTCCTACCTTATTGTCAGAAGAACCAGGCAAGGGCAGGTGCCACATTTTAGCAGATTTGAGAAAGTGAAGACACAGCCTATGGGCATTCTGAGGGAGCGAGGGATCAGTACTGAAGGTACTGCAAAAGCACTGCAGAACTACGGGCAAAATATGGTTATTTTCCACCTTAAATTTAAACTCTGTCTGACAATGCAGTGGGTCGATATTTATGCTACTTCTCAGCTCCCCAATTGGACTGACAACGGTAAAGCTACCCATTTACACACAATTCAGTATACTCCTGTACCAAAGAATTAGAGTACCACTATTAACTATGAACGGATGTTGTTTCATGACACTGTCAACAGTGACCAAGTTTTTCTTCAACCCCGTGACAAAAACATGTATGGACAGAGTTGTAAGAGTATTTTAGTGGAAATGGAGCATTTGCGGAGGCTGTTATCAACTACAGGGTTTGTAAATTCGCATGTTATGGATTTTATTCATAAATTTTGTCTATGGCGAGGCAAAACATAAGGACACAGCAGAAATGCCTGTGAAAGAATCTTCACTATAAGCTGCATAATTCCATCATTTAAAATCGAAAATGGAGCTCAATAATTAACTACATGCTGCACTACAATTGCCAGAGGTAAGCACGTATTCCAGGAGTCACACCACCTCATAGATGGCTTCTAGGTAAAATGCCATACTACCCACAGCTTACAGGATACAGGTTATTCAGCCTTCCATTTTGTGCTGATAAGAAAACAAAAGCTCTTTCAGCAGCTTGAAAATTCAGAAGTTTTCAGTTTTTCCTCTAATTAAGTTAATTTGATCAAGGATAATAGATAAATGAGAACAAGAATCGCTGTGCATTGCAAATTTGGAATTTCAGGCTTTAAAGATTGAGCAAAGACACTTCTGACAGCTTTCTGTAGTGACGTGGCAGCCTGGAAGGAAGTTATAAATTTCAAGCTCATTTTTCAGAGCTGTTCCACATGCCCAGGATTTTACAACCATTATCACCACAGCTCCTAGAAATATGAAGACGTCTCCCAGTATTCTGAAACCTCGTCCTAAGGAAGGTTCTGCTTTCTTATCAGCAGGAGCATTCATTAGATTTTAGTTCTCAGAACGAAATTGGTTTCATAATCTTCCTTGCCAAAAGCAGCAATCTCACTTGTATATGGAAGTTCAGAAAGACTGTGACCAGGACCGAATCTGCCATCTGAAGCCATCTAGGCCTTCACTTATCTCAACTGGAATGAAAAAAAAAACTCTCGAATCTCACTCTCAAACGTTTTTGCATTCAGACAGTAACCTGTCCTACTTATTTTTTTGGCAATTGCTAGAGACTTGCAAATCTGCATTACGTGAACACTGAATTCAAGTCAAGTATGTACATGCAAGCTTCCTTGTTTGCTGAGAAAGAAAGGGGTAATACCTTAATCAGAACAGAAAATGGCTGATGAACACAAGAAGCAAGTTACAACTTAGTGTTTGCAATTCATCATAGTGCCTCCAACACCACTGAGTCTTCTAATTGCACCCTGCCCTTTTTTTTCCCCCCCAAGACTTGACAAATTACTTCTCTATTTCGGAGAAAAAAAATAATTATCTAAATGCATTCATACTGAAAGCAGAGGCCTGAGAAGGACAAACGCTGGGAATGCATCAATGTACAGATGCCCAGTGCTGCTCCTCCTGCCTGTCGAGTGGGAATGTGCCACTCTGCCAACGCTGCTCCCTGTCAGAACGATGAGGGTTAAATTGAGGGGGAAGTGGAAGCACCATCATGCTTCCTTAAGCATCCATCAAAAGTGCAGGTCCTGCCTGTATGCTATACAGGCTGCACTGAATCTGCTGCCTGGGCTGATGGATAGACCTAGCTCAACTGGAAGAAAAGCTTCGCTTCTCATTTACTCTGCTCTGCTGTTAAAGATGAGGAAAACACTCACAATGACAAGCTTAGAAAGATAAGCAGCACACTTACTGAAGTCAACAGAGCAATACATCTAAGGCCCAGAGTTGTTCACAGTCCTGACCACACAGAAAGTCTGTTAAAATTACAAGGGGACAGAAGAAGAGAAAGCCGGGGCCCCTCACTTCAGAAAGTAAAAAAGTAATTTAAGATGTCCAGACTTCCATAACCTCTGTTGAACAAATATCTGTTATAATTTCAGTTTCAACTGCAAACCTCATTTTGATTTTCAGTAAACAGTTGCAAAGGAAAAAGAAACAGTTTCAAAGATTTCTACAGTCATTCTCTCCTTTTAGAGCATCCAGAGATTCAAGAGAAATTAAAATGAAATAAATTCAAATGATTCCAGTAATATTTTAATATCATGTGCCTTGTGTCAGAAGTATTGCATTGGCAGATTTAATAAAGCAGCACTTTTATAATTTTTGTCTTGCACTGGCATACAAAACATCACAACATTCTTCAGATGTCAGAATAAAGAAGAAATACAATAAACAGTAATGAACTCTCAGAAGGAATCTATTCATAGCATTCCCACTCAAAGGAAAAATAACTCCCTCAAAGGCAGGCTATCAGGAAGTCCTTAATGGTTAAAAAGGAAACTGTACACAAAAATAAAGAAGAGGGAAAAAAGAAGAGCAATACCTTCCATAGGAAAAACTGTGATTAAATTTGAGTATTTAATGAAGCCAGTTTACAAAAAAGACCTGAGAGACAACACTAGGCAACAATAGTTAATTTATCCTAGCAACTTTCAAGCATAAATGCAAGCTATACATCATTTGTAAAAATGCACAATAGTGAGTATCTTACATGATAAAGTATCTCACTTCATATTCCTAATGAACAAGTACAGCAGAACACTCTCTTACTTGTCACATTTCTCTGGGAAGTTATTCTGCACAGATAATGTGACATTTCTGAAGCCCACAGACCTTTTGTACAAGCTCTACCACAGTTTTTGCATACGGCTTCTGTGGCTGTGGGGAATTGCTCTAGCTGCTCAGAAAACTCTTTTCCTATAGATGGCCCAGGGAACTGCTGTATGAACAGTGGGAAAGAACATACAACTGTGTGCCTACACAGATCATTATTAAACCATTCGGACAAACAGAGATGCTAATCTACACAGCACTTACTTTTCTGGATCAGTCTTTGTTTGCAAATCTACATCATAATTGGTGCACATTACCAGGATTAATTTCTACGCCCTCTACTGGCTACTTCATCTTACAGCCAAAAAATGATCCCGCTAGTGCTGCAGCTCAACAGCAAACTTGAAACCTAATTACACAGTCAAAGAGAACAGTCATACACATCCAAAAGCAAACACACCAGTTTGCAACTGGCTATTTTCTAAACGTTCTCTTCATTTGCTTAAATATAAGAATGGAAACAAAAGCAACTTCCCTATCATACTAGCCTGTTTCCATTTTGTCAGATTTAGAAATGCTATCAAACATTACAAATTCTGAATCATTGCAGTTAAGCGGTGTTAATTGCATTTTTAACCACAGCTTGCTTTTTTCTCCTCTCATGCCAAATTTCTGGGCAGCCTGGTCTCCGGTGGTTGGTGAACCTGCACATAAAAGAGGGTTGAAACTAGATGAGCACTGTAGCACTTTTCAACCCAGGCCATTCTATGATTTCATCAACAACCAAGCTGTGCAGCAGTTTATAATCACAGAACAACTTGGTTTGGGACGCAGGGTTTGGCAGCTCCCCTGAACCCCCTGCAGCAGGGCTGGATGCACACCTTGGTCAGACTGTCATCATCCCACAACTCCAGCTATGCAGCCTCTCATTCCACTGCTTAAAGACCCTTACGATGGCAAGCTCTGCATCACATACATAAAACGTACATTAGATCCAGAGCAAAAGGAATTCAACATCCAAGCACAAACAAACAGCAAATTTTTACAATCAAGAATGTCTTCAGAAAAGATCACATGATCTATGGCAATTACTACTAACCACAAGCAGAGTATTTACTGGGCAATGCAAATGTAACCAGCAGCTTAAATCACCTGAAAGAAACAAAGCCCAATTTTATTATGAATTCCAAAATTATAATACCTGTAACTCTTCTGTATTTCTGTATACATGAGATACCCATCTCATGTACTGGATCCTCTGACTCGTTACATGAAGCTCAAATATCATCAGTATATCCACACATTTTCTGATCAACACTACTGGAAAAATAATTTAACACCTATTTCAAATGTCAGGTTCTGAGAAAAAATAGTTTAAATGGTCTTTAACTGTAGTTACTTGCAGTAAACATTAACATATTAGTATAAATTACTTTCAATTAGTAGAAATAGTGGCAAATTTCATTTACTTTGCTCAGTATTTTTTTTAAACAGGTTCTAATTATGTAAGCTGACAGGACAAACTTCTACTGTTATACATAGATCAGAAACGTAAACCCTTAGTGCCTTCCACAGCCACTACCTTCAGAACTGATTGTGAGTATTATCCGAAAACATTCAGAGCTGGAAATCTGTGACAAAGAGCAGTACTGCCCCCTAATGAGCCAACCCCACAAAAGCACTTCTACAACATCGTTTTCCTTTACATTTGAAAAAAAATGACATTATTCTAACCATGAGTAATTTTATACAAAAGGTTTGTGCAAAATGAAGACAATCATTATGAACCTGTACACTAAGCTCATGCAAATTTTTTGTTCAAAAGGCACATACATAAGTTTAGGGAGAAAAATGAAAATAAGTACCTAGATTTCCAGATAATTTAATGCTCCATGCACAAAAGCATCACAGTGATACCAAACACTGCACAAAAATCAATCACCTTCAACTCTTCTGCTTATGGGCACATATTATCCAATTTTAAACTTGCTCTCTTTCAGAATGTCATCAATCACCCAAAACAAATCAACAGTTACCTTCGTAATAGATACACTAGAATTTTAGTGTTGAAACGTATTTCATCAACAAGATGCTCTTCATGTTGCACTGTTCTGTCTAGAAGCCAGGTACAAGCCTACTTTAGGCTTGTAATCATTGAAAATTAATTCTGACATAAGTAAATAGCTACACTCACAAAAATAAATTAAAAAAATCCACTTGCCAAATTCTGTTCGTAAAGGAAATAAGTGAACTATCTCTGCCACATCTTGGAATGGAAGCCACATCTTTCTCATGTTGTTATAATTACAGTCACAGACTGGAACCTCTATGCAGCGCTCCTCAGAGCAGCTTGGGCATAAAATATCATTTGGTTCCTGGATGTACTTCTCAAAAAAACAGACTGCAGTGAACTCTACTGAAAGCCCTGACAAAAAGCACAAATACAAGCGGTGTATTCTCTTGTATTCTACTACACATCGGGAATTCCACTGGCATTAGTAAAATTACCTCAATTTAAATGCAACACAAAAGCTGAATTTCTGATTCTTCTCTTTTGTACTGACTGTTCCATTGCTTAACAGTCTGAGAGACACCACAGAAGGCTCCAATCTTAGCAAGATAAGATAAATAAATGTTTATGTGCTAAGTGATATATGACACAGCTTTATAAATAAAACTTCACTAGTTGTTTTTGACACTGAAACACCATCAATCACTAAAAATTCTGAATATAAGGCTTTACTTTACAATCTCCAAACATGGCTTTCCATGGCTTTTACCACTGTCATCATTCATATAAATACATTATTAGCAAAAAAAGGCTAGGAGTGACAAGTGGGATCTTAACTGACTAGTCATGGTACAGTACAGCAAGAAGCTGAGCAGTAATTTCAAGGAGTAGCAATCACAAGTTGAATCTAGGTATCTAATAATATGCTTTACAGATCCCATATAGCCATATTTAATAGCATTTTTCCATGATGCCACAGCCCACAGTTGCTAACACAGCTGTAAGCCCCACAATCTACTTAATCTATATGCTGTTACATCAGCACTTCACAATTCCAAATGCTTAATCATTAAAGAGTGTTATTTCACAAAATATGAGAACACTGGAGAGAGACTAATTATTAACAAGAGAGCCAACTGACGCCTCAAAACTTCTAACACAAAGTTGTCATCACAGTTCATTCCAACTTTGTCAAATGCATTTGTCCTACCTTTGAGTCTTCATTGCTCACACCCAGCTCCAGCACAGCTCGAGGAGATTTCAGCTTCGCTTGCGTGGATGCAGACATTTGAAGATCAAGCTGCCAACCAACTGTTTCAAGCTATAAAACACAAACGTAGATTAGAATCATACAGTACAGAAGCACTGGGAGGTCAACTTACAGCATTATTCAATGGTTTGTCAGTGAAAGTCATGCTCGACAAGTATTAAGCACTCTTGCAGAATACACATCCTACAAATTCTCCAGAACTCCAAGCAGTGGAGTCCAAACTTACCAGTTAAAACTGCCTGTGGCCTTCACAAATAAAAGTAACTTCAAATACCTCAGATGTGCTGGAAATAAAAATCCATAAAACAAAATGAAGTACCCAAACTAAGATGCATTCTTCTTCCTTGCAAAGTTGATCTAAGTAGAACATTCAGTTTCATGTTTTATCTTACAGAAAATTAATAAATTCCCAGTAACTTGTAAGCTACCTAAAAATGGTAATCTTTTAACCAACAGATCTACTGCATGTCCTACCACATATGGAAGTTTACAACAAAAAAATTATTTCTGGGCTGCTTTTCAATATGTTTCTACCAAAAAGCTAAGTTGAGTAAGTACACATTAGCACTGGAATAGAAAGCTCCTCAAAAACACATTCCAAAATACTTTTTAATCTCTAAATGAAAGTGACACTCACAAATTACTGAGTTACAGCACACACAAAGCATATATGAACAGAACTACAAGCCTAACAGGAAATAATCTACCTAGCCTTCTTGAATCTTCAAAAGTAGAAATACAAAGTCTTACCACCTGGCAAGTTAATCGACATACAAGTTTTTTAGTCTACTCTCTCCTTTCTGCTCGTAAATACTGCAGCTCACTTTTATTGTTCCTAAGACAGCCACTTTTGTTAACCCCTTTCCAGCTCAATATTCAGTACATGCCCTGTTCTCCTGCAGTGACAGTAATCTCTAGACAAAAGACAGGACAGAAAATGAAAGGCACCACAGTGGTCTGAGTTCACAGCTGAACAGCAGCCGTAACTCCCTTTCTGTTACTGCTTTACTTTACCATCACTTCACTTCCCACAGCCATTTTTATTTCTGTTTTAAAAACAGTTGCAGGAGAACAGGTTTTGATTAACAGATAATATGGTGCCTAAAATTCGAAGTGGCCTGCCTATATGCTTTCTTGAAATATGAATGTAATGTGTATTTGACTGTGGTCACGTTTACGCAGACATTCAGCATTCTGAAATGTCAATTAATCTTCTGAGAGCAGGGACATGTTGCTGCATGATATTTATGTCAAGGCACAGTATTTGGATGCCACGAAGTACATATTTTAAGGGCAATTTCATCAAAAGACGAAAGGAACTTAAATTTATTTTCACTTCTAATAGAAAACTACATAAAACAAATATTGGGAGAGACAATGAAGTGCCAGCATCTTAGATAACACTGACACTTATATTATGCAAAAAGTATGTGCTAGGGGAGAAGAATTTCTTCAGAACTAGCAGGGAATTAAAACCATGTTTTTAGCTTTTTCTTTTCATAATTTCTAAGCAGCAGTTTAGAAATATGCAATACCTTGTCACTGCAACATTAAACACTGTTGAAAATGCACTTTTTTGCTCTGTAAGCTCTCATTTGGTATCTCTGACAATTATTTGATCAGAAGGTTGTATTCAGGAAACAAAAAACAACAGGTGCAGGCTGGAAAGAAAGGAAGGGGAAAAAAAGCTAGATAGTAAATAAAAAGATGAGCAAGCACAAATGAAAATCCTCCAGATCTGCCCCATGAACACCACCGCAAAAGATTCAGAGCAACAAAGACAGGACAACGCTTCCCACTTGTATTTCTTTTCCGTCTGGGCTTCTGAAGATATCATAACAGACAAGACTAATGGGTACAGAAGAACTTAGCAACAACACCCTCCCCTCCAGTGGTTAGTATGAGCCACAGAAAAAGCTCAACAAGCAGTGCACTCCTCACAAACACACTGCTTCTCTATGGCCACCTACGCCTGCGCCAGGGACTGATCCACAACCGCTAGCTGACAGCTACTGAATGTAAGAGCATCTGACCCTTCATCTTTCATTGCTGACTGCCCACACACATCACTACGAATGAAAACTGAAACAAAGAAGAAATTCAAGCAATCTGATCAGCATAACGAGTTTCTACATTGGCTGTTTAAAATGAAAATACTTCTCCTTTCTCAATTACATATGGATACGTATCTTCAACTATTTAATGATAAATCAAATGGATGTTCACTGGCAAAAGATTTCAGGCTAAGGATATCAAGGAGAAAACAAACCACTTTGCAAAAAATAGTCTACCAGAATCAATGCCCTTAGAGTGAGAAAGCAATATTCAAAACAGGCACACTGTAGGGCAACAACTTCAGAACTGAAAAAAAAGGAGACTGAGAAACAACCTCACTATGAAAGTAGAACATTGTTAAGGACTTTAATTGGGGAAAGGAAGGTAAGTGGAAGTAATGAGGGAAAAAGAAGTGAGAACTTTAAGTGGAAGCAGAATTACAGAGAACACAATGATCTGAAGATCATCCCTGTACTTCCAATTTCTGCCATTCTAAACTTGTGGAGTGGAGCCAGTATTTTTAAGGACAGAGTGTGTAAAGCTGTTTGAATAGCCGTATTTCAGGAAGAAAAGAGGATACTTTTCAATTTTGAGCTTTTGAGATATCCTGAAATAACTTCTCCTGCCTTCCCCTGCACCCACAGAGACTTCTAATTTTAAATGGGAAACCTAAATTTTTATATAAATTACTTGCTTCTAGAGGGCGAAGCTTTCAGAAGGCCACACAATAGCACAACAAATAATTATGGAAATGACAAAAAAAAAAAATCAGCAATGCAACCATCAGAACTCACTGATGTGGCACAAACACTTCACTTCTTGGCACTACTGCCCAAAGGTTCCTCACATTACTCCTGGTAAGGTTTACTAATCAACTACGTGATTGTTCAGTAATTTTGGTGCTGGGATATTTGAAGAATCATACTGAACACTGCTCTCCATTGCTATACGAAAGGAAGATTTTAACTGTCTGTTGGCTTTTAGTTTTTCTGTTTGATTTTTTTTTAAAAGAACAACCAAAAGTCCCAGTAACATGTGCCTTTTCAAGACAGCAAACAATTTTCATTAGCCTAGAGCTGTCAAGGGCCTCTCAAAACCTGAGTGATTTGTATTGACGAGAATTTTAAAACAAACTGTTCTTGCTGTCTGCAGCATCAAGAGCCAGCAAGAGCAATCTTGAAAGAAACTGATCACACTGCTGAGACTGAGAAGAACAGTTTACTAACAAAACTGCGGTGTGATGCTATCATTGTTCATCCAGTTCATAAGGCACCAACCACTACAGTCCAATTGGCTTCTAACCTGAGCACAACTGAAAACAAATCTTGACTTTCTTTCTGAAAACCCAAGTCTTGGCACAGATCTGAGCACTTCCAACAGTACTGTTTCTTCTGTAACCTTAGCAATGCTAAAGGATTTGATTAACAAGGAGATCTGTGGTTACATGCAGCTTCACGTGGCACAGAATACAGCTTTCAAATTGCACAGATGAAAACATTCATGTCTCCTTACACTGAGTCAACACTCAGCCCATTCATCGTAGTTCACACGCACCTATCATTATTTTTTTCCCCACAGACAAGTTGATTAATTTGAGGACAGCCTAAAGCAGTGCAATTGGCTTCGTTTCCACGAGTTTTTGATGGTTTGTCTGACTTGTTTGGGGATGAGGGAGGTGGTGCTTTTTGTTTTGCTTTGCTTTAAACCACATCACAGAATGCCATAAAAACATCTTATTGACTCATTCCTCACAGGTATCACAGAAAATGCCAATCTTCTATGGAACACAAGCTACTGTAAAAAAAAATAGGATGGCTGAAGTAATACAGAAATTAGTTTCATGCTGTGCTGGTAGATAGCTCCACCTGTCTGATTTTCAAATACCATAATCCTTATTTTGAGAAGCCTGTCTGTTCCAAGTGATATAATAATATTTGACACCTTAGGTATTACTGAACAGGAGATTACGCCTTTTGTATCCTGAAGGAGAAGGTGCTCTTGCTTGTTTTTATACAGCTTTTTCCATTCAAAGTCAAATTAATACACAGGTAATATTAGTATTTTTCAGAGTTACACTCTACTCATCTATTTCTACCAAATGTAGTACATCCATAACAGCATTACATCAGTTTACACACAGCAGCTTCACTACATCAGTGCTGGAACTCTATTAATTTAAAGTCTATTGTAATAAAGTCTAAAGTAAATACAGATAATTTAAGATTGCAAACTCCAAGCTTCAACTGCTATATTGTTAGGAATAAGTAACCAATACTATTTGAAAGTGGGTGATTTATAGCTCAGACATAAGCAATCTAAAGAGGAAAACCGCCCTTCAAGGTCAGAGGAGCAGTAAAAGTACACACCAGAAGTATCCAAATGGAAAAAAATAGCTGACTGACTCTTCTGCCTAGCAGAAGAATATATAGCAAAAACTTCTGGTGGTAAAATGAAGTCAGGCAGCTTTTAAACAGTTATAAGGCCCATTTTTATTAGCGACAAAGATACACCAGAAATTACTTGTCATTTCATGCCCGGAAATCATAACCAGACCATCTTTTCCAAGAATTTTTACATACTAATGGAAAAAATTATAGTCTGCATTACACAAGATGCTAAATGCGATCAGCACAGCATTTCATTCCAACTTAAAATGGCTATATTGTGCACAGAAATAGAGCAATTGTTTCAGATGTTTCTAAATGTTCTCAAAATGTTATCTCCTGTCCCTTATCATTTGCACCTACTTCGTAGAGAAAAAGAAGAGGGTAAGAAAGATAGGAAAAAATCTCATTAAAAAAATCCTCAAGTAACAGCAGCTAAGAAACTGTACATTATTAAAGTACACAGTAACAGTAACAATGAGCACAAGATTAAAGGAACTCAGCCGTGCAGTAGCAGGCTTTCAAAATAAATCTCAGAAGGCATAAAACCAAGCCTTTATTTCATCTTTCATCAGTTGATTTCTTTTTGCCACTATCTATGATGGCATTGTA